GCCCCCAGCTTCACCCCTGCGGAGCCCGGCCTGTGCCCGCCTGCCCCCAGCTTCACCCCTGCGGAGCCCGGCCTGTGCCCGCCTGCCCCCAGCTTGACCCCTGCGGAGCCCGGCCTGTGCCCGCCTGCCCCCAGCTTCACCTCTGCGGAGCCCGGCCTGTGCCCGCCTGCCCCCACTGACCTGCAGCAAAGTGGGCCTCACGCAGCTCGTCCGGGAGGCAGCAGTAGCGCTCGTCCTCAGCGGGGGACAGCGCCCAGTCTGACCGCTGGGCACTCCAGCCCTTCCACTCGATGAGATGGGCCACGCGGCCCCGGGCCATGGCCGTGGGCTTCGTGATGTGGTCCTTGATGCTCTGCACCACCCCTGGCGGCACAGAGGGCCTGGGTTGGCCATCCCAGCAGAGAGCCCAGTGTAGGGCCCCCCACCCCCACCGCCTCTCACTCCCAGAGCTCAGTCCCACCCTGTGGTCTGCACCCACATTCACACATGCACCCCAGTGAATGCCCTGCGCCGCTATGCCACACACAACCCAGCAGCCTGCACTGTCCATGCCCACGTCCGGCCCTGTGCCCTCCCAAGTTTATGTTCCTATTGAGAACTCCACACGCCCAGTCTCTGCCAAAGTCCTGCCAGGGACATTGGTGCCCACGGGGGGGGGTTCTTCCTCAATCAGCCACACCCCTCCCTCCCTTCCTGTCAGATGTCCTGGAAGTCACGGAGTGCCACAGGTACAGGGAGAGGCAGGGTAACCCTGCCACTTAGGAAGAGTGTCCCAATTGGAGGATAACGGATCAAGAGAGAGAGAGAAAGAAGGGAATGTCAATGACCCCCAACAAGAGATAAGGAAGGGCTGGACAGAGGGAAGGAAGGGGCGGGGTCTCTGGATGTGCAAAGTGCCAATGGGGTTGCAGGGAAAGTCTAGCATCTTTATCCACTAAGGCTGAGAATTCAGATCAGGCAGCCTGGGGTCCCTGAGCCATGTGGGCATGAGGCGTGGAGGAGTGGGGGTTTGGTGACAACACCGGAACACGGAAGACAGAGGAGGTATCAGAGACAGGGAAGAGGCAGGGAGCATGGTGGGGCCGGGGAGGGCAAAGGGGAATCTTCATCTTCAAGCTGGGGCGTAGGCATCAGATTTTTTGGATTGCAAAGGAAGTGCTATCTCTTGGGACCCTTCAAGGTGGCAGGCAGGTGTGTGTCTCTGGGAACTTGGAAGTCTGAGATGGGTGGGGCAAAGCTCTGGGTAATGGCTGGTGGGCTGGGTGCTTGGGTGGGACAATGGGGAGCAGAGGCCCAACCCTCTCTCCCGGCCTGGAGACCCACCCCACCGCTGTCCCAGCTACGCTATTCTCAGCTCCCACCTGCACCCTTCTCTGGACAAATACCCCAGCTTTGGGCACCGCCATACAGAAATGCTCTCAGGGTGGCAGGTCTCTTCAGGGGCAGCCAAGGATGAACAACAGGGCAAGATCAAGTCCAGCCATCAGTTCTGTGTGTAAGTCCTGCTGCAGTGCCCGGGCGGTTTGGGGCAGGGACGTATTCCTCATCGTGGCTGAGCCGTGTCCCTGTGTCCCTCACCCCTGCCTCACAGTCCTTATGGGGCCTGCAAAGCAGTCCCTCAATGCACAATTCCCTCCTCAGCTTCTAGGGATGATTGGGGGGGAGGGCGGGGTGACACAGGGGTCAGAGAGGTAGCGAGACCACACAGACAGACAGACACCCCAGACCATCTGAACACTCCAGATCCTCAGAGGTTCTTGAGAATCCAGAAACATAATCCCCAGGAGCAGGAACCCAGACATCAGTCATACCAGACCCCAGTCTAGAGTCAAGCATTTAGAGACAGTTGAATCTACCAGGTGCCTGTGGCTCACACCTGTAAACTTAGCCATTCCAGAGGCTGAAATCTGAGAATCTTGGTTTGGAGCCAGCCAGGGCAGGAAAGTCCATGAGACTCTTATGCCAACTGACCACCAAAAAGCCAAGCTGCGCACGGGTGGCTCACGCCTGTAACCCCAGCTACTCAGGAGGCTGAGATCTGAGGATCGCGGTTCAAAGCCAGCCTGGGCAGGAGAGTCCATGAGATTCTTATCTCCAACAAACTACCAGAAAATCAGAAGTGGGGCTGTGGTAGAGCACTAGCCTTGATCAGAAAAGAGCTCAGGGACAGTGCACAGGCCCTGAGTTCAAGCCTCATGACAGGCAAGAAAAAAATCATAAGTGGAGCTGTGACTCAGGTGGTAGAGCACTAGCCTACAAAAGCTCAGGAACAGCACCCAGGCCCTGAGTTCAAGTCCCAGAACCAGCTCAAAGAAAAGAAAAAAGAAAAGAAATCAGGCTGACCATTCTCCTAACTGAGGGTCAGAGATGGAGTGGGGAAAATCCAGGAGTGAGAGAGGGACAGTGAGCACCTACCCACAAGGGACGAGGTGGCCAGGGCTGCCACGCTGTAGTTGCTGGAACAGGCTCTGGAGCTCGACAGGTAGCCGTTGGTGGTCTGGAAGCACCTCTGTAGGAAAGGAGGGGCAGGGTAAGCAGGAGGCCCAGCCAGGCGCCGATACCCCCCATGCATGGCCATTGCCAGCACCCGGAGCCCTTGGGTGGTGGGCAGGAACAGGGCAGGGAAAGCCAAGAGAGCCTACTCTCTCCCCAGACCCCTCCCCCAGGGCTGGCAGGACTGTGGGCCTGGGCACAGTAGAGGGAGAAGCAGTGGTGCCATCTGGACTGGCCAAAACAGGGACAGTAAGTGCACTGACCTGCCAGGGGTCCCAACAGAACTCCATCTGTTTGTCCTAAAGCAAGAGGAGAAAGGGGGTCAGGCAGGGCCGGCTCACTGTGCCAGCAATGGCGGAGTCCTGGAGGCCCTAGGATGCCCTGGGTCAGGCCTCGGGTGCCCTGAGAGGGCAGGGTCTCCCACTCATGGGTCATGTCCTGCCGCCCCTGGCATGTGGGGAAGCCAGGAGGGAGCAGCAACACCGGACACAGGGCTAAATCAGACCTCACCAATTGAGTGCTGACTTCATCTCCTACTCGGTTGTCTCAGGGTGTCAGCTTCACCCTCTGAGGGAGGTGACAGTGACATCAGCCTCACAGGAGGGTGACACATAAACTATAAACTATATGGTGCAGGCAGAATGCCCAGCAGAGTGATCCTGGGGTATATGGCTTTACAAGGTACTACATCAAGCTGGGTGCCAGTGGCTCATGCCTACCATCCTAGCTACTCAGGAAGCTGAGACCTGAGATCGTGGTTCAAAGCTAGCTGAGGCAGGAAAGTCTATGAGAATCTTATCTCCAATTAATCAGCAAAAGGACAGGAGTGGAGCTGTGGCTCACTGGTAGAGCACTAGCTTTGAGCAAAAAGAAACCTAGGGACGGTGCCCAGGCCCTGAGTTCAAACTCTAAGCCCAGCACATACACACACAAAAAAAAATAAAAATAAAAAAGCAATGTATCAACTGGTGGGTTTGGGCCAGCACCCGTGGCCAAGGGTAGGAACTGTCCATCGGGATGGGGGCCCCTGGAAGAGCCTTCCGCATCTCCTGGAACTGAATGGCATACCCAGTCCTATCGCTCTCCCTGGGGAGGGAGCTGCCTCCTGCTCAGGGCCAGGGGCCGCTGGACAAACCCAGTCAGAGTGTCTGGGAAGCCCTGCAGGGAGAGATTGTGTTTTTTAACCAAGCCCAGCCTGCTCCTAGATGCCCAACCTAATGCAGACTCTCACCTGCTGAACACCAAATCCAGCACTACCCCCTCCACCTCCTCTATCTTCCTGATACATCCTGAGCGTAGCAGGAATGAGAGGAGGTTGGAATAGCTCCTGTTTCTTACGGGGAAAAGCTGGGGACAAGTCAGGCCCAGGGGACGGCAGGAGGAGGGGTGATAAGTGAGCAGTCACCTTGCCAGCGACATGGTCTGGCGGGAAGGCTGGTGGGCAGCTGGAGGGCAGGTGGGGGCTCAGGAGCTCCGAGCCCTGGGGCACAGGGCAGTCCTTGTGGGCACTTGTGAACAGATCTGGAAACAAGAATGATGGCAGACGGTTAGAAAAGCTCAGACCTAATTGGAGCTACAAGGTAGGAATAAA